CTCGGCGTGTGTTGGATTGTCAGGTCGTTTGACTTCTGATTGTTAATTCTTTCATAACTCTGGTCTTATCCTGATATTCATAGTCTGGGATTGATGGTTCTGTCCTAGCGCTCACTACAGTGGTGACCTTTTTGACGTTTGCGCTTATACCTTTAATTTGTTGACTTTCTATTTGCATACAGTACGTTTACCTTCTTTCTTTCTTTCTACCACCATGACCTCTACGAATTCCAGCGATGCCACTTCTTCTCTCAGTGGACTTGTTTCTTCTCTCCCAGACTTTTGGCAACATGCGTCAGAACTTTATTTTTTCCGTATCGAGGCGACATTTCACTCCGCCAAGATAACACGTGAAACGGACAAATATTATAAGTTGGTCGAGGTCCTTACTCCGACCATTCTTTCCCAAGTGCAGATTTTTCTGAGATATCCCCCGACTGATGCTCCCTACACCAAGTTAAAGGCTGAATACCTTCGCCTGACATCAGTCTCCTGTTGGCAACGTTATCACGCACTGGTAAAAGAGGAGGCCTTAGGTGATTGCAAGCCATTGGAACTCTTGCGTCGTATGCCTTCTCTCGTTGAGAACATGGCCGTTGACGACAAGTTCTTCAAATAAATATTCTTAAAACGTCTGCTGACGTCGGTACAAACAATCTTGGCCTCTGGTTCCGACGACCTAGACATAGCAAAGCTAGCGGAGGTGGCCGACCGTATGATGGAGGTTGAGCGTTTGTCCTCCCTGACGATTGCTCCGGTTTCCCAGCCTCTCACCGTGTCCACCTCTGACCTGGCTGAACTTAATACACATATTGCCCAGTTGTCAGCGATCGTTGCCGCTTTAGAGCTGCACCAATTCCCCGGGTCCCTCTCGACGTTCCTTCTGCCGTGACCGTCGTCGTTCCCGCTCTTGCCCCAGGACCGCAAACCTATGCTGGTATCATGTCAACTATGGCAATAAGGCGCGACGCTGTGTCCGACCCTGTGACCCCAGCTAGCCTGGGTCGCCTGCAGGATTGCATGTCGCCCTCTCTGTAGAACGTTTTGAATTTGGTGTGAGGCAGTGATGTGGAAAGGCAAAGAGACGGGAAGCAGAGTTTCCTTCTCCCTCTCTGAGCTAACTGATTGCTGAAATATAAACGGTAAGCAGGCAAATTCAACAGAATAGTAGCTAACTTACATGGTGGTCGCTTACCTTGTGGTCTCCTACAGGGTTTCAAACAGAGCCTCATCTTGAAGATGAGGAGAGGATGATTCATCCGGCTAGCGGTGGTCCTCGCTTTCCCCGTAGGACTTTGGAGGTGGGAGGAAAGGGATTAGATGGGGTGAGGGGAGGCGGGTGGGGATGGGAAAGGACACCGGATACCCTCAACCCGGTTTAGTCCACCGGTCGATGCGGTTGCCTGGATGTGGCCGCCAGGGAAAGTCTAACTTCGAGGAGACACACGCGCGAGATGGGTGTAGTCAACACCTCCAAACAAGGGAAGCGACTTGCTGCAACCATTATGAAAATCGCACCTAATTAATATGTCTTTCATGGAGTCCAAGATTCCCGACGCCTGGCGTACAGTGAGAATCAGTCCCAGGCTGGACTGTCCCTTGGCTTAGCGATTATTTTACTTCGTGCACTCAATCTGTCCAATCAGGCAAGCGGAAATCTACTATTCTTCCCAATGACTGCGGTGTTCTTGAAGGTTCCATTCTGTCCCCTCAACTTTTCTCCCTCCAAACCGACGATCTAAGGTCCCCTAATGACTGTCTTTTGGTTAAGTATGCTGATGATGTGGTTGTTGGACACCCTTTCAAATGTCAGACACACCTCCAGTCTCTAAAGATGGCCTAAACCATGTCCCAGTATGGTCGGAGGAAAATGGTCTCCTAATGAACAACCAAAAATCCGTTCAGTGTATTTTCCGACTGCGGCCCTCTCCCAGTCCTGAATCCTCTGACATCATTCCCAACGAGGTATCCTGTTTCAGGTAACTCGGCGTTAATTTGTCCTCGAATCTTTCATTTTCCCTCCATATTGAGTCCCTATATACTAAAGTTCGTAAACGTCTTTATCACATACATCGTTTATGTTCCTACCACACAATTCAACCTTTAGTTTGTAGATTCATCGATGTCTGCATTCTTCCTCTTATCCCATACTGCTCTCCTGTCATTCTTCCTGCTTTGCCTAAAAATGATCTTTTACTTTTGAAACGAGTCCTCCGCATGCTTTCTTCAGCTGCTGGTGTTTCTTATCTTTTTTAAGTCGACACTATCTTACAACGAGATTTCAACGAGGCCAAGCAATTTGCTGGTCAGATAATAGATGACGTTGCCCATCTCTTGAATCCTGGTCTTATTTCTGCGAAGTCTTCCCGTCCGATGCGCCGCAGCTTCCGACTTATGTCATGTCGCACATCGGCTTTTCGAGCTTCTGTATTACCATTCCTGGCGCGCTATCTTACGTGCGAAAAGATAGAAATATAGAAGCTAAGATTTGAACTATCCTCATAATAATAGTTTCTTTTGTGTTAAACTTTGACTCTTGAATAATCTATTAAATTATTTACTGCCCATAATGAACGGAACCAATTTTTTGCTAAAAAGTTTGAATTTATGATTTCAAAATAAAGCGACTTCCCCTCTCCACTCTCCCCTCTCAAATCCACATCTGAAAGCCAGAAATGACTTTTTTCGTCTTACCGTTGGCGTGCATTTCCAGGTCTCAAGTTGTACAAATCAAATCGGATTAGGTTACGATCTTTTTTACAGTTGGACATCGAGGCTCCACTGATCATCAAAATGTTATCGAAAGCCGAAGACCTGCACACCCTCCTGTCGTCAGAGCCCAAGGCGGACAAGCTGGTTGCTCTTGGCTACTTCATTGCTGCCTGGAGCGGATTGCTGAGTCCTCATAGAATCACCGGCCACAACGAAAATGATCGCCCTCTTCTGCGAACCTGCGCTGAACACCGCCTTCTGATGACCAACACCTTTTTCTGCCTGCCAATGCCGGAGAAGACTACCTGGATCTACCCTTCCATCGCGGTGCTGGCGCCTGCTGGACCATGTTCTCGTCCGGCGGCGCGATTGACAGGACGTGATTGTGACCAAGGCAATCTACGATGCCGATGGCTGGACTGACCACGGTCTCGTCACCTCCAAGATGAGGTTCCATCTGCAACCCTGAAGGAGGCCACAAGGCAGGCGGCCAACAGATAAGTTGGATGCTGTTACGTTGAATTTGCCTGCTCACTGTCTCCATTTTAGTAATCAACTAACCCAACGGCTGGAAAACTTGCCAGCTCCGGATGAGGACCCCACCGTGGAATCTCAGTGGTGTTAGATGTTGAAAGCTATTCACTCGACTGCCTTGGATATCCGCGGACGCGCACGTCGCCAGCACCAGGACTGGTTCGGCGACAGCGACTCAGACGGCAGCCGACTGCTCGCTTAAAGTGTAAGGTGTACAAAGCTAACATGAACCATCGGATCGCCGCAAACAAGGCGATCTTCGTACATAATCGTCGCATCGTGCAGCATTGCAGAGGGAAATCCAGGCGCCTTGGTGGCACGTAAGGTCGAGAAGACCCGGAGCTATGCCGGCTGCAATAAACTCGAAACATTCCTTGCGCAGCTCTGGGTGATTTATGGATCCTAACGAAATAAGCCGTGTCATTCCTCAGCTCCGAAGGGTCAGCGCTTCTGAAAAGGAAGTCGCAGATTCTGAAGCAATGGATCGAGCACTTTAGAAGTGTCCTCAACTGTTCTTTCACAATCTCCGGCGCAGCCATCGACCGGCTTCCCACGTAAAAATAAATGTCGGCCTGAATCTCCAACCCTCCCTCCCAGAAACCATTGGTGCTGTGCAACAACTCTCCAGCGAAAAAGCACCAGGACCCGATACAATCTCAGTCGAAATCTATAAACACAGCGGGCACCGACTGATGGACCAAATCATGACGCCATTTTAGGAGATGTGGCATTGTGGACAAGTTGCTCAGGATTTCAATGGCGCAATAATCGTTCACCTCTACAAGCTGAAAGGGAACCGGCAACTCTGTGGCAATCACAGAGCCATTTCGCTACTCAGCATAGCCGGGAAGATCTTCACTCGCATCCTCTTCAATCGTCTCAGCGGCCGCATAGAGCAAGGACGTCTGCCGGAAGCTAGCGTGGCCTCCGATGACGCCGGGGCACGACCGACATGGTGCGTGCCGCTTGTCAATCACAGGAGGAGGAGAAGTGCCAAGAGATGCAAACCCACCTCTACACTACCATCGTGGATCTGACGAAAGCCTTCGATACGATGAATCGCGAGGGACTGTTAAAAATCATACAGAAATCCGGCTGTCCTGAGCAACTCATGAACATGGCACGTCAGCCCCACGACGGTACGATGATGCGCGTCGCGGACAGCGGGCAATCTTCGAGGGATTCGCAGTGACTAATAGAGTGAAGCAGCGCTGCGTACCCGTTCCCATCCTTTTTAGCCTAGTGTTCTCTGGCATGCTGATGGACGCCTACCGTGATGAGCAACCCGGATAGGCATCACCTATGGAACTGACGGGCATCTCGACAGCAGGCACATGCAGGCTCGCACGCGAATATCGACTAACACGGTCCAGGATGGTAGAGGGACGCACACCGATAGTTTTTACGGAACTCACTCGTTCCGCTGTGTCCTACAGGCTCTCTTCGAGCCCAACCAGCAGCCGCACAGCGGCGCATGATATATAGGAGAATAGTATTACCGACAAATACAAGGGAAACTAGAATGGCCATTTCTGGCTTATTAGCCGTCGTCAGCCAGTCATACCCAGCCCCGAAGTGTGGAACACGTGGCTCTCGAACTCACGACCTGTTAGTTAGAAGTCCAACGCCTTTAACCACTAGGCCACGGCTTGTTGTTTTGGTGTTCCACACCTCGTGGATGGGTATGACCGGCTAACGACGGTTACTAAGCCAGAAATGGCAATTCCAGGCTCCCTTGTCTTTGTCGGTAATAAGGTTCTACGGTCCACGATCTGCTCTTCGCCGGCGTCTGTGCCCTAAAACCTACGATCGAAAAGAGCATGGAAGGGGGCATGAATCTCTCCACCGCCGGCAGCGTCAAATTCGGACCGACCATCCGGTGCTGTGGCGCCAACCGTCACCGAGTGCTGGGTAAAACACTGCTTGGATCACTGCTAACGGCAGCCAACTCAAAACCATGGACAACTTCGTCTGTCTAGGAAGCACATTCTCGTGGAATAGGGACATCGACGATGAGGTTGTCCGTCGGCTCTTCAAAGTTAAAAAGTCAAATTGGCTAATACGGGTTTTCGGTAAGTCTTAGGCCAATACAATTACATGAAGGAGTGAAAATGTACAAAGTTAACAGTGTCTATAGGTGTCGCAAGGGCAATTAAGTCATTAACAGTCATCTTCTCCACGCCGCCGGCATAACGCGGTCGGCGGATTTTGGTCCTTAGAGCTGGGGGAGGGGGATAAGCGAGTCTTTGAGTGATGTTCTTGGATTGAGTTCACGGAGTACCCATCACTGTAATCAGGGATTTGAGGCGGCATGTCGTCATCACGTGAGGTTGGCGTTGGCCACGGCAGAGAGAGAGCGCTTGTGTCAGGGTTTTCTGACAGCATAGCACCGGATTCGCCAGCCGTATAGCCACTGCCTCGGCCGTTGCTAGTATCCGTTGGCGTAGGCCCTAAGAGAAGCTTGTTGGTGTCAGATAGACAACCTGAAATGCTTCCTTGGCATCGACTCTGTGATCCGTATCGATTAAATGTGCGAGGGTCTCACCTCTGCCTAGCCAGGCGGGCATATGTTCATGCACCCTCTTTGCCAGGCGTCACGTTGTGCGGCCGACGTATCCCGCTCCACAGGAGCCTTCGTCCGGCCGCAAGCCTCCGTGTGGAATGGTCATGACCTTCAACAGAACACCAAACTGAAGATGCACAATGCTGTCGTTTTGACAGCACTCCTATACGGAACAGAGACCTGGGTCGTCCACGCACGCCATGCCAGGAATCTCAACCGTTTTCTTCTAAACTGCCTTCGCAAAATACTGAAGCAGAGATAGCAGGACAGGACCCCGAACACGGAAGCCCTGGAGCGGATCGGAATCCTCAGCATCCACGCCAATCTGAGGCAACTGAAACTGCGATGGAACGACCATCTAGTAAAAGTGGATGACGCTCGTCTATTAAAACCACTCTTCTACAGAGATATCACCACGGATACGCGTCGTCAAGGAGGACGAAAACCGCGCTACAAGGATACTTTGAAGAATTCTCCGAACCGACTGCATATCAACCCGGAGACCTGGAAGGACCTCACTCAGAAAAGACCGGCCTTGAGAGGAGGATTTAAAACTGGCGCAGCCATCTTCGAAGCAAACCTGATCACCGTCGCCAATGCCAAAAAGAAGGCTCGCAAATAACAGATGCCTCGACTCCATAATGCCAACAATCAGCTGCTTCCAATATGCTCGCCCTGCAAAGGCCCATTCCGCGCACGAATCGGCCTCATAGGACACCTTCAGACTTGGGACACCAAGTATTCGACAACGTCCACTTCTCCTCCCACTCTTGCCCTGCCGAAAACTCTGCGACGACTACCCCGCATCACCGCCAATCACACTATGGCTGCCGCGCAGCCATCAATCATCGACATCATCCACCCTGCCCTAACCCCTACGTTGAACACAGCGACCAGCTTCACCGACGCCACGATATCGCTCACTCCCCTCACCAATGGGACGATGTCCAACGTCTCATCACCACCAGTACCCCATCTCCAGCGATGTGGACTCGGCCCAGACCTGTCCCCATTGAGATCGCACATTCACCGCACATTTCACCCTGGTCGGTCACTTGCGAACGCTTTGTACGGATACTGCCTAACTAGTGTCTGGAACACCCAAATTCAATCGACGCATCCGCCTCCACTGTCCACACTACTGCCATACATCTACTCACTGCATTGGCCTACTAAGTCACATACGCAGTCATGAAAACCTGTGGTAGACAAACGCCGGTTATACCTCACAATCTCACATTCCCCGACCAACATCTAAACCACATATGAACATCACTCATCGCAACACAACACAAGCACGTTGTTAGCACATCTCACCTAAGTGGCGATGTGTTCCTTCGCTCCTTCTACATGTAACTCCTCTGCTGCATGTGTGAGCTGAGTCTTGGACGTTCAAGGTGTGCTAAGCATCGTGGCTCGAAAGGTTGTTAACTGATAATGGAACTCAGACCTTGCATTCAGCACAGTTATTTGTGTTTTGTGGAGTGTCGGACTGATGGGCTGAGAGTCAGTCTACAACCGCTCCTTCTTAACTTCACCTTTGGCACTCACGCATGTGGGGAGTGTGTGTGCATGGGTAGTGCCTCCGAGTCGATGACTGAATGGTAACCCGGCCTTTGAAGAGGGATGACTCAAACTAAATGCATGTTAGCGTCTCACCCTTCTGGACTTTAATGTTTGCGCGAGTCTGCTAAACCACGGTTCAACAGACCATGGCCATCGCAGCCTGGTATGCGCTGGTACCTGATTCTCTGTCAATGGATGCGTTTGTGTCTCCGTTGAGTATACAGGCCGTGTGCATGGTTGCCAAGTGATTTGTATCATCCTCTCCTCCTTCTGATCCATTTATGTTGTTGGTTAAAATCCTGGCCAAGTGTTTGTTGTGAACCAGGGGATGGTGTGGTACGCCTAGGTGCGAGTCCGGCTGTGCCAGCCATCTAGGCCGTCTCCCGCATCCGGTCTTCTTGATACTGTCTTGACACCCGCCCAGGTGGGGAGGAGAGAGAGCGGTAGATGTTGCGCAAGCCTACTCTCACTATAAGCTAACTCACGTGCAAGTCACCGTGCCCCCTCTCACCTTACTTTGGAAAACATGGTGGACATCGTCGGATGCGAAGGCCGAACTGTCTCGTCCCGAAGTCACCAGTACTGCAACGCCAGTAGGTTAATTTCGGCGTAAAAAGGTATCTGACATTTTAAAATACCTGCTCGGAGGATATAAACGATAGTCGAAATCCAACATTGACATGGGATTCTCACTTGTACTTCGTGAAGATATGATCATTTTTCATGTAGCCGACTTTGATTATGTCGCAGATTGCACTGCCCACGCGTGAAAATCCGCGGCCAAATGAAGAAGGTTCCGGAACAAATTTTATTTCTTGGCGAGATGTGTCAAGCCAAGTTTCAAGTTAGTCTCTTTTTCGACACCTTCAGTTGCGCTACGGCGCTGGAAAGAAGACAGCAACATTGGGCTCATGGTGTGGACGACAATGAATGTGCCCAAACCATCCCAGTCGCCTTTCGTGGATGGCCTCAGATATACTCGCGATGCTGTCGAACCGGATGCGAACTGTATAATTCGAAACCATGTCCGTGTACTTCATTCGAAGGATGATTCTCAAGCAAAGGTGACTAAACACCTTCAGTTTTTGCTTTTTTCCACGCGCACAGCCAGGTATTCCCAATTGTAAAGGAAAACTGACCGGACGGGTGCCCGCTGCACGGGGATCCTCACGGCGTTTGGGATGCCGAGTCGGGTCCATAGACACTTTCTAAGGATTTGAGAACCCCTGAAAGCATCCGATAAACGACTCCAGACGATTCTTACCGTGGCAGCGGGTCTTTCGGTTTCATTACCAGACGCCTGATGGTTGCCTCCGGTCTGTATGCAACACCGACCCCAAGTGGTGCGAGAAGGCGGCCGGCAGCTTCGGAGACGTTCTTGACATATGGAAGCGCCCGCCAAGATTTGGTGACCGTGCGGTTAGGCATTTCGTCCCTTTTGTGTACGCACCTGTTGACAAAGTTGCGCGGGTAGCCATTGGCTTTGAATACCCGTCGGACGTATTGTAATTCGGCAATCTTGTCTTCCGGCTCACTGCAGTGAGTTTCGACACGCCGATAGATCGTCCTTACACAACTGTGCTTGTGGCTGATTGGGTGGTTGCTGTTGAATTTCAGTACTTGTGTGGCGACCAGTCATCATGACCGGTCTGGCGTCATTGTTCAAGACCTCGCTGCCTCAAGGTCATTCACTTCTTGCAGCGAGCCGTCCCAGACGAGCTGACCTGAAGTCACACGACCAACAGCTCGGGCATACCTGCGTCCGCGCAGTCGCAGCTGCCCATGCGGCCACTTGAACGCGCCACCCCCTGCAACCAGCAAAATAAGCCACTGGGACACCACCCCTCGGCAAATGCAACACATGCTGACTGGACACCCCTTGAGCTTGGCTCACGAGCCTACAAAAGCGGCTGCTACCACTATCTAAGAGACTCTCAGGCATGACTGGAAGCAGTCAACATCAGCCCTGGCTTCGCCAGTGGCCACTACTGCCTGAGAGGACAACTCCGGGTTCTGTGCACAATAAACCTCTCATTTTGGTGCTTTCTGACTTCTCCTTACAGTCTGGTATAGGACTTGATAATTGTAGCGCTCAGAGCACTTATTCCCTCTCTGTGCCGCTACACTTGCATCGTATTTTGCGCTTTCCTGAACACTTTGGTCTTTGGTCCACGACAATCTTTGCGGCATACGAGGACATCCAGGAAGGCCAGCTGGTTGTTCTCTTCCTCCTCCATCGTAAATTAAATGTCCGGGAAGACGGCGTTGAGATGTTCTTTGAATGTCAGCACGTGATACCGTTCGATGACGACGAAGGTATCATCCACATACCGGCCCAGAACTTCGTTCTGTGGTGTTGGAAGACCAGCGACTCTAACCGTTGCAGGACCGCCTCAACGATGAATCCCGAAATCGGCGAACCCATTGGTGTTCCCTTCACTTGTTCGTAGATTGTCCCGTTGAACGTGAAGTCCGTCCTGAGACAGAGCTTCAGGAGCTGAAGGATTTGGGCGTGTCCAAGACGATTCTCCGTTTCGAAACTCCGTCCGTTCTGCAGCATCTTCTTCCCGATAAATTCTAAATCGCCAGCTTATTACGACCGACAGTCATATATCCCTGGGTCCCTTCTCCTATTTAAAGATGAAGCTCTAAAACACTTTGGCCTTCCCAGCTCTTATGAATAAACCGATGGATTTAGCGACTTCATTCGTCCGAGGTACTACCAAACTTGAGGCGAGCAAGGAAAGACCAGTCAGTCGGTGCGTATGTACAAATTAAACAGCGTCAGAGTTGTATGGGACCCTTAAGAGAATCTGGCAATGCCCTATTCGAACAAAGTGGGCACCAGGATGCAACCTTGTCGAATACCAGATCGAATATCCAACGCTGATAAAAGGGAACCTGGGCGCTGGCTAACGGTAGTACGCCTTGATAACGGCGATTATTTTTGCCGGCATATCGTCTAGTTACAGTACCTGTGCTAACTCATGAAATGTCACGAATTAACACAGGTTAACGCCTTTAACGCAAAATCGGTAAACACTACGGCTCCCAAAGTCTGATAGCGGAAAATAAACGATGTGCCAAAGAAATAAAGCAAAGTTTGGTTAAGAAAATATTATTTACTGAGATAAAAATAAATAATTTTCGACAAAAGTCACACTTTCGAGAAACGCCTATATTACAACCAAGTTAATAAAGGCTACGTATGAGGACGTATAGTGGAGGAGGGCGCATAAAAGGTCAAAAATAATTAAGGACAGAAACAGATACAAAAAATTAGTACTTTGTAGATTGTCCATTCGAATTAATAACAGCAGAAAGTCTGTCCGACATAGACATGACAAGGTTATCTATGGTGGATTGTAAAATGTAATTATTGAGTATGAAATCCAATTTTTCCTGCATTGAAACAGTCTTCTTAGCTTTGTGCCAATTTCTTTTGACTATTCCAAAAAGATTTTCGATTGGATTAAGGTCGGGACTGTTGGCCGGGATGAAAATGGATTGGAGGCCAATTGCGGAGAGCGTGGTTGTTGTCTAAAATGTTAGATTATGTTTGCAAGCGGCATCAAATTCGTACCTCTTTAGAGCGGTGGACAGGTGCATTGTCCTGCAAAATTACAGTATCCATTCGGCGCCGACTTATGCCGTTGTAGCCGAAAGCATCCTTGACAATTGCAATGAACACCTTGCTGTTGATGGTGTCGGATGTTGACCGCCAGACAGGCCGCTCACCGCTCCAGAAAATCCCGATGAATTGAATTGAACGCTGCGGTCAAGTCAACAGAGCAGGCAGCAGTCAGCTGGAGGTGTGCCGCATCCGCGCACAGTTCGGAACCCGACTTGTTTGGGTTTCGTCTTAGATCCATGCGCGCGTAACGTCGATGCGGTTTAGGCCGCGGTAGTTCTCTCACTTGAAGGATACCCCAGCTCCAATCATTGGGAACGACCTATATCCTCATGCTTGCTTTATAACCTCACGGAGCCATAGCACCGAGGCAGCGACACATGCTTTGCATATTTCAGCGAGACCGCCGTCCTCTCTGGGTGCCT